AAATTATACTTTATGCATAAAATTATAACGCCGAACGTTAGTCTTTATCACCCATCTGCCTTATCTAATTCTTTATGAACATACAAATTATATATATTTTTTCATTCCTTATTTTTCTCTTTGTGCGCGTGCATAAAGGCACGTACATTTATCTTAAATATATCTGCTATATTATTTTAATTGAATTCTATCACTGCAAATAGTATACTTCTCCAATTACAGTGCCAGTATTTCACAGCAGGACTATTTGTTCAAAGAAAGATAATTTCAATTTGTAAAATTGAAAATGTAGCATAACTCATATCCTAGGAAAATTATTTGCTTTTAACAATTTTTTATTGGTTATTTGTAATAAATAATATAAGTTAGTGTATTATACTAAATATATTTATATTCATAAAAGAAAATAAATTTTTGTAAAAATATAAAATTTTTTTCTACAAGAACAAACTACAACTCCATAAATATAAGGCGTTTTTAAAGGTGATGATAAAATTTTTCTTTTAATATAAAAAATATTATTCTGATACAATTATTATTGACGCACATTTTTATGTAAAGACTGGTATCAAATTTATTCCGAACAAAACTTATTTTTTTAAATTATCATTTATGTAACATTATAATTAAATTAATTAAAAATTTTAATCATATAGCATTCTGTTAATAAATTATACTACAAAATTATTCGTAAATGATTATTTGCTTATGAAATCAGAAATTAATAATTGCAATGATAATTATTCATAAATTATGAAGTCTTTTATTTACTTTTAACATAATGCGAATATACCTTCAAACATATTGAATTGCAGAGTTTGATTGTTAATATTAACTAATTTATTAACTTCTCGAAACTTATTAGCTTTCATATAAAATTTTAATAATTTTAATACCACTTACAATACGATTTCTAATAATGACAGTATTAAACTGCACGTGTATGTAATTTGTTATTGATAGTAACACTTGTTCTATTGGCATTGAACTTTAAAATATATTACACTATGTTATTGACCGTAAATAATTTTTCTTTATAAATGATATATATATATATATTAAATAAATAAATAAATTAGAAAATTAATTAAGTATTTCTGAAATCTTTGTTTATTTATATTTGTAGATAATTTTTACAAATTATTTTTTCATTAGAACATAAATTTTAAAATATATCATTTCATCGAATCAACCACCTGTCAATTAATAACAACCATTATAAAAATTCTATTTAAAAAATTTATACCGTATTTAATCTAAAAACATAAATATTTCTAGTTTGTTGTCATTATAAAAATTTAGTTCGGTATTTATGTTAGTGTTATAAATTGGCTCTATATTATCAAATTAATTAAAAATTAATCTTGCCATAGCATTAGAATTGAATACAATTGAATATAATGTGATACATAATTCTAAATTACAATTTTTATGAATGTTATTAAAATTTGCTTCAATCTTTTTATTCGCAAACCTTTGTTATCTGTCGTAGCTGGTCATTTTTTATTATTAGTGATATTTTTAAGTGTATCAATAATAGTTTTTTTTATGAATGCGAACCTAAGCAGATGTATTTGAGATAATTATGTGCCTATAGAATATTTATTCATCAGGATGGAAGAAGTTAATCCACTGAATTTTATGCTGAATTTTATAAATTTTGAAATATTGTAAACTTAAACACACTATACATTATCTTCACTTTAAATTTATTTGATTTGAATGTTAAAGTTACATATAATTCTAATAAATATCAAGAAGAATATAGGAAATATTTATATCTTCCGTTTGAGTAATAAATATTAATAATATTAATTTATTTTATTTAGTTTTATTTATAATTTTTTTAAAACAATTTATTAATAATTTAGCTGTAAAGAAAGAAAATACAAATACTCTATATTATATAGAAAATATAATGTCTATATCGAGATAAATTGACATCTCTATATCATTTAAAAAATTATTAATATTTACAAGAAAAAAGTGGGAGAATCAAATTCTTCAGATTTGTTTGACATGATCATCATTAATGAATATTACAAACTGAATAGAAGAGATTATTTAGTTCTACAATAGTCAGTTGATAAAAGCTTTTATAAAAATAATTTTATTATGTTTAACTATGTGGGCTTGACAATTACATATTCGTTACTATATTTTAGCGCAAATTAAACAATATGAAACAAAATTAATTTGCGAAAAGTGATCACAACATATATATCTTTAATTCTATCAAAAAGACTTAGGAAAAATGGCTAACCAAATACATCATAATGTAGTGCATGCGTACAAGCATATTTTTATAAGATTTCTCTATTCTTGTTGGCATCGATGCGACGAGTTCAATTTCCCCTAGGATTACGTATAGGTAATATTTAAAATTGAACTCGGAGAAAGTATCTCTATTTTATTTAGGCAGGGCTCGCAGAAATTTATAGGAATTAGTGTAGAATCGCAATTAGAATGGCCTCTCTTATGGTCGGCTCCTCAACGGTAACGTCTTTTCAATGCGCAATTTAAAAAATCTACGCCAAGCATTCCTAACATTTTGTAAGTAGAATTCCAGTTTAAATGATTTAGCCGACCATCGTGTACCCTACATATGAAGTGGCAGTCCTACGCCAAAATCTTGTTCTTTTGTATTGCGAGCACGTACATTGGGACATTTCAAAAATTTACGGCTGCAGTTCCGTGCGCCACTTCCGCAAAATACACGAGCACACACATTTCCGATTACTTTCTCATTTAATTCTCGTAATTCGTCTGGCTACACGGATCTCGATTTTCATTCATCGACTCGCGACGGTCGACCCTTACGATGCTGTTTACCACAACGAGATGAATATTCCCTCCGGCCGACCCATATTTGTTGTCTCCCTTAGCATTTTTTCCGTACTTTTTTTTTATTTCACCCTCCGCCTCACTCTTTGCCTCTCCCTTTCCTTCTGTCTGTTCGTACCGTATTATTTTCGACCTACCCACGCGCACACACGCGCACACACGTGCACACATGCAACCTACTTCGAATCACCCCTGTAGCCGCCCTTTACTGAGAAATAAGCGACAACGACGGCGCAGGAGAAATAATGTGAGCGCGAGTCGGAGCTAATCGTCGCTCGTATTTCATTTTGCTATCTCCCCCCCCCTCTCTCCCCATCTCTCCATCTTTCTTCCTCTCTCTCTCTCTCTCTCTCTCTCACCCTCTCTCTCCTCGGTTTGTCTATTTATCTCTATTTATTTCTCCTCTCTTTATCCGTACAACGACAAGCCGATATTGCATACGGCAGCGTGAGTTGCTATGTGTGTTTGTAGCACCTGACCACGAAAATATGGCGATATCCGCTTGAAAATATTAAACCGGTCATTCCTTTAAAATCATAATATTCATAATTCAAGAAGATAAGAGCTAACGATTCTGCCGTTAAAATTGAAAGTTCTAAATCGTGCAAAAAATATGTTTCATAATTTCAGTAATTTATTTATGTAGTAAATATGCAAAGTTGAGTCATTTTCACTTTCTATGTAAATGTGAAATTAACTATCAAATTCATTTAGAGCTAAATTTTCTGCTTTTAATAATGTCAAAATATTTTGATTATATTACATAAAATATCACGAAATCTGTGATCTGTTTAAAATGTTACTAATCATATTTATTACATATTGATTTGATCATTATATATATTATGAATTGAATTTTTTTTCACGCATTAAATGTCGATTCAAAAAAATTAATTACTTTAATTAATATAAAATTTAATTTATAAAAACAATATATAATAAACTGTAATGAATTTTTATTTTGAAATTTAGTAAGAAGTCTTTCATTAAGTTTACTTATGTTTAACAAATATTTTAAAAATAATTATTAGATTTTTAAAACGATTCTTGAAATTATTTTTTTTAAATCTGTAGCAATAAGATTACTCCTTAATTAAATAAATTATTAATATATGTTGATAGTATTTAATATTTTGTATACTCTAATCATTAGTTAATTATGATATTACACGCGTATTGCAAATACGCAAATGCACGATATTGCACGTACGTTCATACGTAGGCAAGTACATATATATGATTAAAATAGGACGTTTATATTTAATTGAAAAATCGACAAATACACTGGTATATCTATTTTACAAATGAATAAAAACCTTTGAATATAAATTATGTCTTTGTACTGATTTTTGTTTTATCAAATGCAATGTCGAAAAAAATTTTATGTTTTCTGATAGTAATAATATTTCAAATTAATAAACCCATTGATATTTAAAAAATTTTCATGGGTATTTTAGAATATATATTGATCAAATAATGTTTATATGCTGAGATGTGTGGATTACTAAACTGTCAAGGTCAAATTTAGAATAAGACGCTGACCAAGATATACAACCCTAAATAAAAATATAAAAATCAAGATATAAAACCCTCGTGGTATTTATTATCAATAAATATACGCTTTACGTTTAGCTTTATCAATGAGAGATTTCAGTTAGTATATATGTATTTTTAATATATTCAAAAATTTAAAAGTGTAAAAGAACCAGTTTTTGAATATTTAATTTTTATTTTAAATTATCTAAACTTCATTTTATAATCAACTGGCCTTTAACATTTTTGCACATTCTGTAAGCTATGAATAAAATTACCAAGTAAGATTCTCTTAGATCTACATGAATTTTCTTGTTTTTATGAACATGTCAGTTAGAGAAAATATAAACCAACGCTTTTATAAATATTATCAACGTATTATTAAACCGTGCTATCATTTGTCGTGATACTTTTGTGTTCAATCGAATAGGAAAACTAACTCGATTCGGACAAAATGGTTTCCAAATATCTGCGACACAAATTTTTTTTATCGCTGATTATATTCGATCTTTAAGTCATAAGTCATTTTTGAGTTGACGAATGAAATAATTTGAAATTATTAAATAGAAAAAAAAACAAGAAAATTGGAAAGACTAAAATGAGAGGTTTGCATAAAGACTCACAAAAGTGATTGCCAGGTCCGGCGTAGTGGTGTCCTTTGTAAGCTGCAAATAATCCAGGATTGATACCAATCTGAAATAGAAAACGAAAAATTTTTTAAAATACAGATAGACATTTCAGAAGAGATGAAGAATACGTATTTATGCGTACGGATGAAAGAAAAAAAATCATAGATAAGTATATCTAAAACAATAAGCATGAAAGTTTTACGTGTTGATCTTGGAAAAAGTCGCGGTTAAAATAACTGCACTCAGAAAACAGTTGTGCCATGTTAAATACAATTTTATTCGTATCACGAAACTTTTATTAAAATAAATTTATCCAGAAGCATTATAATAATTCTATTGAGAAACATTTAATCAATATTGAAAACTTCAAGTCACTCTTCTTTGACTATTTTTTAGAGCATTTCAAACAATATTTTTATTTTATACAATAAAATTATTTCGAAATTTTAATAAGTAGGACATATATAGATTATTTCTAGTGGGGAAAATTTATTTATTTTTGATAGAGTAACAATTATTATAATTAATGTTATATGACATTTTACCTGTAAAAGAATGAAAATTACAATATTTTTGTAAATAAATAACTAATAAAAAAATAAAATAAAAAAAATGTTAAAAATTCAACGAACTATAAAATTTTTTTACTCTAATTATGCAAGTCATAGAATAATTCATCAAATTAAAATTAATAAATTTTTTGAAAATCAAATATTCTTAAAATGTAATAGACATGATATAGATTACTAGATTTGAAAAGATTTCATCAACATTTCGTCAAGAAATATTTGTTACTTACATTTTATGAAAACTATGAAAAATCTAGAAGACAAGTCGATGAATGAATTTGATTGAAAATTAAGATTCTTCTATAATATACTATTATGTATAATATTTTCTATAATATACATTAATTGCTTTTTTCTTAAAAATTCAATAATCTAAATTTTTTCATCAGGAAAGATAATTTCTTTATTTAATCCTATTCTCTTAGCATTGGTAAATTCGCTCTAAAAAAGTTGTTAAATAATCATTAGGTTATTTCTTGTAATTCGAGTATAACCGTTTGTAGCAATACATTGATATGAAATCTACGAAAGCTGTAAATAAGAGAGAGATATAGGATTAATGAGATAGAGAGAAAGAAGTAAATGGGGTATGGGGGAAGCAAGCTGAATAATACGATTTGACGGGTGGAAATGGAATCCGAGAGTAAACTTTCTTTTCTCTTTTCTCTTTTCTCCGACTGACAGCAAGAAATGAAAGAGGGGACCTAAGAGTCGCGAACCAAGTCTAGTCGCCGTTGTCGTCGTCGTCGTCTTCGTCGTCGTTGTCGTCGTCACCGTCGTCGTCTTCAATCGGCTTCAGAAAATTAGCGGGCACACAACTGGGCTTATTTCCACTTCGTTTCCGTTAACGCGCACACATCACAACTTCGGCTCTGTCTCATTAACGAGACCGCATTTGGCTAAGGGTCGTTCACACTTTTCATCCGAAGCCCAAGTAAAGGAAAGATGGGAAAAATATACAGCCGCGCTATTTACATTAACCTATGACTAAAGGATAAATATTAATTCCGATCTAAACCATTTACTGCTTTCTTCTTTCTATAATCAATTGCAAGGATAAAGATTTTAACGTAAAAAGCAAGAAATGTTTAAATTTTTTTGTAAAACTTGCTTCAGTTCAACGACAAAAACAGTAATGGTTTTTTTTTGTTTGCAAATTTTGCAATTAATAATTTTAATTTTTCAAAAATTCAGATATATATTCAAATATATATAGATAATTTCTAAATATCTGTCAATAAAAATATATAAATCTTTTAAAAGAAATTCCTGTTTTTCTTAATTTATTTAATTAATTAATAAACACGATTAGATTAGTATTGCATTTTAAATCTGAATACCAATTGTAAAATTGTATAATAATACACATTTTCTTATTTATTCAAACTATTATTTCATACAATAAACATTTAGCTTGCAATTTTTTTATATTGCCATAATTACTTTTTACAATTCATATAAAATATCATAAATATTAATCATCTTTTTATTATTATTATAATTTTGTTTATTTTATTCCGTGTAAATACATATAAAGTATTATATATTTTACAAATATTTTGTAACATTCATAGAAGACAGAATCACTAATTAGTAATCATTACTATATATAAGTATCAGTATCTTTACTTAAAATTCTACATTTTTTTACAATTATAATATATATATATATATATATATATATATATATAATAAGAATATATGAATTAAAAACGTTTAAATATAATTTACTACAATGTGATTGTAGATTTTACAATGTGTTTTTATCATTCACACCGACATATTTCCGTATATGTTAAATGGGGTTGAACTAATTTAAATTACAAATAAATTCCATAAATTGATCATATATTCCTTGTATCAGAATTAATATTTTAATCGGAACATAATACTACGTATTTATTTATATATAAACATTAATTCCTTTAGATATATAAAAGTGACGTTTTAGTGCTACTAAATGCGGTTGAAAAATTTTTATTCATTTTCTTATATACATATTTCAAAGACCATAGAAATATGAAATTTTTTATTATGAATATGAAATAAATATGAAATATTAATGAGTTTGTAAGCAATTCTTTTATTCTTCTTTCTGGTATGATATAATTGATTATGTTACTGTTGCCTTAACAATATTTTAGTAACAAATTTTATTAAACACGATTGTTAAAAATTCGATAGTACACTTTAACATGGAAATATTAATTTTCAATTAATTATCTCAAAATTTTTTTTAGGTCTAGTTTTTATATTGATTTTTTAATGCACGATTATTAGATCACAAAAATATATCTTATTATATTATATATTATTATTAACATATGGAATTGGAATGCTAAATTTCCAAGACAATAATATAATTACGATCATTAACATTAACTGTTTTATATTAATTAATTTGTGGTAAGTTATCTGAATACAATAAAAATGAGATACTAAAGTTAAGTCTAACTTATACAATAATAATCTCATTTTTACTCTTTAATTTTAATTGTTAAAGCATACCTGCCTGTAATTATAAATCATTTTTATATTGTAAATTTGTTTAAATATTAACATTATCATGGAATGCGATACTGATGATTTGGTCTATAAAAGTACAATTCTATCAGTTTAAATCATTTTATTAAAAATAATTGGATGCTCAAAATTGAAATAATATGATAAACATACCACAATGAATATTAATTATTAGGCATAATTATTCTAGTTATAATAAGATTGTTGTAGTAAATTTTATTTGCTCTACATTGTGATTTTGGTACACGAGTAATATCAATCTCACCATATACGACTATATAAACTAACAAGAATTCTGTAGATTGTTATTTTAATAGTAATTAGTGTAGCTAACTTATATTTGATAACAATGTTAAATATGGATAATTTATTATTAGTTTAAGTTAAAATCCATTAAAGATAAAATAAGAATAAATATATATTATAGTAACAATATAGGTAAGTGAAATGGATCTAATATTATTTATACATATATAAATACATACATACATACATACATATATATATATATATATAATAATAATATTATAGTATAAATAATATTAGATCCATTATATATATATATATATATATATATATATATATATGTTTATATTAGGATGTTCTAATCCGTCAATGTAAAGTTCCTTAAAGTAATTCTCAAGTAATAGATTCTACACAAGTACACACATTATTGTTTTAAATGCAAGGTTTATCGTACTTAAATTTACAGATGCTTGTAACTATGCCTATAAATTCCTTCACAACAAAGTTACGTTTTATTCGTAATATTATATAGTTATAAAACCTAAAATATTAAATTTTATGTATTTAATGGGATATAATATAATTGTTTTTATTATTTTTACTTTGTTTCTTTTCGTAATGTTCGCTGCTGTGCACAATATTCTTGGAAGAAATGAAAAAGATATTGAATTCAATTTTTGACCAAAAGATACCTTGAATCCTTTATAGTATTTTTTTCTTTAAAACAGTTTATGCTTTTAATAAAAATAAAATAGCATGGACTAGGTCGACAAGACGAGTACAAAACCTGTCTATCTACTTGCCATCAACATTACGGCTCATTACTACGTCCGAGTCGTCATGAAAATTTCAAAACTATACGGCCTTATATTCCCGTTTCCTTGATTTGCAAGACTCCAGTGAACCTTTTCTTTTTAAAGTGCGAAATGATGCTTACACAAGAGATGTTTTACCTGAGTGATCGAAAAATTTTGAAAGCCTTTAAGCCTTGATAGCCTTGATATAAATAAATTATAATAACGAATGCTTTCACAATCCGCCCCATTGATGTACTCTGTAAGACGCAGTCAGTTAGAATATATGTTTAATTAAAGAAATATCTTATTTAAAAACCTTAATTTTTAAGAGCAACGATTATAATCCAACAAATAAAGTTAGCAAATATTTTTTAACATTTATTCTTATATTCGCAAATGTAAAACTATGCGGGCTTCAAGCATGGAAGCGGAAAGCTTACATTCTATAAAAGTAGAGACCAAGTAAGCTCAATAAAAGTATTTTAATGATGAACACGAATTAATAACATCATTCTTTGGCATGTTGTTTACGAATGGTTCGAAGAGCGAAAAAATTGTTTTGTAAATTAACCTAGAAAATCTTTAAATTGCCCGAAGATAGTGGGGGCCTTCCGATTATCTAGTACTCGACGGAATTGTAATGCTCTGAATATGCGGCGTACAATGTCAAATGTAGATAGCCGCGGTTGGCTAACTCATCTGCACTTTGCGACGACGTTGATTATGCAATATGTGTACGAGCACCTCGTCTATAGCTTGTTTACCAGTCTTTGTCAGGTGTGTAGTTGCTGGGTATATGTACCTGTTGCGTAAGTCCGCGCGCGAGTATTTTCTTTGCTCCTCACTTTGGAGGTTAGGTAATTAATGGCGACAAAGTCCAAGGATGCGCGAGTCGAGTGCTTGGCTTATGATGTTGCGTCGCATCGCAA